CCTACACACTTGAACAGTTTTTAAAGTGAAAGAAGTAAATAAAGGATGATGTAACCATTACCGGAGGTTATGCTAGGAGGAGGAATATGACTCACTTCTGTATAAAGATCTTCCACTTGCATTAAGCTGCGTTTGGAAAACAGTGATACTGCTGTGCCTATGTCTTTGACCTGTGAACTTGGCGAAAATAAACTGATATTCACCTTTTTGCTGAAAACGTGAAAAATTATTGATTTCCCCTAATTATTCTTTACGATTCTTAACGTTTGGGCATAAAACAATGAACGGAACATTCCTTCTGAGTGCTACGAAATCGGAGCATGTGATTAAACGTACGAACATACTAACGTAAATTTCATAAAATCTTTGAGACGATAAATCGACCTGTCCGAACACACATTAATGTGTTGGGAATAGACTAGATACAATGTCAGTACAGAGAAGGTGGCGAACTTGCAAGTTGCAGCTTAAATGTTCGCGCATTCCCGAGATTGCCGTGACAATGTTCTTACTGGCACTCTATGATCGAAAACTAAGCGACAAGAAATTTTCGGTCCGCTGCATTTTTTTACTGATAAAAAGTGACACGGTATATATAAATGTTCCATAGTAGTATAGTGTGTTCTTAGACAAGTATCACAACTACTCATCGTTCTGACGTCATAACAGCGTGGTGAAAGATGCGCTTCGAAATTCTCTTTCGAGCTGGTTAGTACAATTACTATTGCTTTAGCGTAAAGATTCATCATATATTTAAATATGTAAATTTAAATATAGTTCTCGATAGCGTATTCTTCTCTATTTCAGAAGAGGCATCGATACCTTACAAATAGAGAAATCCTTTTACTTAAGCAGATGCATGATATTATTTAATACTCAATTGTGTACATTTCTTGCTCTCAGGACGAACTTAAATGAAAACAACGTGGTTTAATAAATTATTTAATTTATAATTTAAATTACAAACGTATTAATTTAAACAAAAGAAATAGCTTACTTTTTCTCTTACTGCCCACGGTAGTTACATAATTGCTGTGGGCCATTTTGACGCCAAACAGCAATAAAATAGTTTTGTTTCTTGTAGGTTAGTAATAATAATACTAATGTTAATAGCCATATTAATAGTAATGTTAATAATCATATTAAAATAATGTTAGTAATAAAGTTAATCATGTTAACAATGTTAATAATAATGAAACCGTTTTCTTGCGGCAAGGCTCGAGTCGTGCCATAAGTCGGGCTTTTCCTCCTAACAACTTTTAACGAACTTACATCGCAATTATTACAATTTAGACTTAGAATAAAGAATGTTATTTGAAACTGCACCCAGGAACACCGCCCAAAAGGAGAAGTTATTCTGAGAATTTCAAACAGTCGTGTCGCTGCTTTCCAAATGTATCGCAACGTGATAACTTCTGAGAGAAATTTGAATCTGCAATTTCAAAAAATTTCTGCAAAATTACCTGCAACTACTCATATTTTGAAAAAATCTACGTAATTTTATTAAATATCTAATTTTGAAGAACACGTTTCACTAAACAAAGTATTATTGGCATCAATGTAGCAATTCTGCAATGATAATTTTTTGCAATTTTCGTAAAATCAGTGAGTTTATCGAAAATTGAGTCCGGCTCTGAGAAATTTCTCTAAACATTGTTTCTTCTAGAGGACCGACAATAAGATTTTTCTGTCCAAAAATCGCCGTTTTGTAGCAAAATCCCAGTTTTTAATACACCTTCACACTGCCAGTAGTATGCGAGAAATTAAAGATCATGTAAATAAGAAGTAATTTTATCCACAACTCTTTTGTTTCGATTGTTCTTTACTGACAGCGTACAGTTAAACCTTTAACGCCATTAAGAGTGGGTCTGCTTTATTGCGTTAAGTTTATATACGGTATAGGAGGACAAAAAGGGCACAAAGTAAATTATTATTATCATTGCCACTATTACTTCCTTTTTGAAATTTCAATCTAGCTAAAATGAACCCTTGAAGATTGCGTTTCTGGGTACAATTTGGTCTAGCGGTATGCACTGCCGGAGGCGTTGCGAATCGTCAACTGTGCACGTCTCCTCAGAAGCAATTACCGTCCCTCCCCTCCCCCTCACCCCTCAGCAGGGGCGACCACGTCCAACTGACAATCCGATTTTTTATGCAATGGTAGCGAAAAGATTTTCATTCAATCTTGATTTTACACAGAGTAAAAGCGGATGGGAAGAACACTCAATCCGCAAACTTAGTGCGGAATAATTTTCTACGGAACTAGTACAGAAAGCAAGTTAGGCGCTCTATTGAAATGTTGACGTGCATTTGAGTGAGCCAAAGGCAATTTCGCACAACTTGCGCACTCTTCCCGTTTAGTTCAAAATCATGGAAACAAAACGTATGATGTTGAATTTTTTTTAATACGCGAGATCTTGTTGGTTCATGTCGTCCGTTTTATGTATTTGGCAAGACGCACCTGCCCAACGCTACTTCACCGCCCTTGGGCCGCAAAAGAGGTCGAGGGCGAGGTGTGCGAGATGTCGGGTGCTGCGTGCGGACAGCGCGGACTCCTGAGGCAGCCTGTTCTCCGCGGACATATTCTTTATTGAACAACTTTTATGAACGCAGTACAGAAAACGTTTTTCTAAACCTTTCCAAATATCTGTTTACACGGTGGTGGCGACTTGGGAAATAACATGGTGGTTCTGCGCCGCGAGAAATTAGACGTTGGACTCCTCATATTATTTCCATTAAATTTTGTTTTGCGAGTTCAAACGCTCCACAAAACTTAAGACAATTTATTATTTTCGAAAGAACCTACAACTTATTCTTGGTGACATTTTCATTGTGCTTCTTAATTTTCGACAAATAAGCAGAATCCAGTTGTGACTGTACATTACTGTCCCAAGAAGTGATAATTGAACTTAATTATTAAAATGTGACTTCGAATTATCGTATTTCTTTTTAATTTTCGCGGAGAGGTGCATAAGCTATTTCACCCTTGTCTTTAACCACGCACTTTCCCCACCAAAAGACCGCATGGAAAAATAAAAAGAGCAACTACTTGACCACATCCGCATATCCACTTGCTTCTTTCAGGTGTCGTTACGAAACGCCTAATAAACGTTTAGCCTTGGTTGCTGCCTAAAACGTGGAATTTTCATTCCAGAGGGAGACTACCTTATTATTTTACTCCTTCTTTATCATCATAAACCAATGAAGAAAACATCTGTTCAATAATGCGACTAAGGATTAATTTTCAACCGAAAAATATCACCGCAATTTGGTAAGTTAATAAAGCACTTTTGCACACGCCGATCACTACACTTTATCAGAGAACGTACACAAAAGACACTGATAAGCACTGCACCCAACACCTGTTAAGAAATGAACGCGAGACGAAATGTGTTCTCGCGTCTGCGCTGCTCGCCTCCCACGTTGGAAGGGCAGTTTCGACATGCGATTCGGCTTTATTCGTGAAGCAATCGGGGCTCCTCGGAACCCTAGAGCTGCTTCGTGCGCAGCTCGCAAGGTCTCTCGCAGGCGTGCGCAGCCCCGCCTGATAACTGAGATTGACAGCAATGCTAAATGTTTAAGAGCTTCAAATTGCATCTCACGGAAACCTCGGAGAGCGTTGCGCGCCCGGTTGGGTTCACGAATTAATCGCAAGGAAAATAAACAGAGAGAGAGAGAGAGAGAGAGAGAGAGAGAGAGAGAGAGACTACGTCTCATCCAAACACATAGAAACTGTCTTTGCAGAGCAAAAGCCTTACAAAATATCTTTCAGAGAAGTAGAAAATTTGGAGGATCCGCAGGCCTGTAACTCTCATCGAAGAACCGCCCCTGTTACACGCTAACGTTTTCCGTAGAATTGTTTGACCCGCCAGAATCCTTGTTTTGAGAGTCCTCGTCACCGAAAAAATAATTGACGGCAAAACGTCTTTTTCCGTCTCATATTTTTTGAAAATTGCGACAGTGAAATTTTTTCGGGTGTCTTTCTACAACTATAGTTTTGAAAATAAAGGTTTTCATGAATTTCATGAATTTCTTTAGAGGTATCTTTAAATAACATAATGTTCAATTGTTTGAAAATATAAGTCTTTTTCATGTAATTTTGCGTAACCAAAAAATTAAGACAATTCTATTATTTTGAAACATTTTTTAAAAAAAAATGTTCCAGTTTTTTTAAAGTTTTTTCTCGTATGTATGACTGTAAAAAATATGGCGCTAGTCCCATTTTCGGGGAAACCTCTGTTTTTTCGAAAACTACGAAAGGTAATATTTCAAAATTACAAAATTGAAAATAAATATTTTTTCTTTTGACAGAGTCTGTTGGTAAAAATCAGGTCTTTAAAATAGTCTTGAACAATTTTTTTAAAAAGTGAGTAGATTTTGCATAATTTGAGCTTGAAATTTACACAGTTTCTATAAAAGATATTTTATATAAACCCGCTTCAATATTTTTTTCTTTAATTTTTTTCCACGTATAGAAGAAGGCACGCTTAAAAAACGGCGTGAACAAATTCAGAAATAATGCGAAAAAGGATGTGCTGTTTGTGTTGTCTAGGCTATCCGAGACGAGCCGCGTCACTGACATAGTGGCTAACTGCTGACGCAGCACGCTCTGAAGAATGCCACAATACGCTGGCCGAAACGTTAGCCACCATGTCAGAGACGCGGCTCGTTCCGGATAGCCTAGACAACACAAACTCCGGCCGCGGAAACCTACACAACCGGATGTGCTGTTTGTTGTAGCATCACTAGTTTAACTTTTCTACAGCTCTCCGCTTTGAGCGATGTGTTCACAAGGGTTCCCAATTATTATTATTATTATTATTATTATTATTATTATTATTATTATTATTAATGTTTCCGAATGCACAGCATTTGCTGGGAGTTCACTCTTGAGTGTTCACAGACGATGTGTCAAATTCAGTCAAGCTCGTCTCCCGTGAACTTTCTTGCAATGTGACAGGTGTCGAAGTGTATTGTTACTGTTGTTATTAATGTTGCAGGTGGCGCCGTGTCGGAGCTGTGCCTGGGCTGCATCTGCGAGGCGGTGTCTGGCTGCAACCGCACGCTCACCTGCACCGGCGACGTGTGCGGCCTCTTTCGCATCACGTGGGCCTACTGGGCCGACAGCGGCAAGCCCGTCATCGCCGGCGACAACCCCGACGCCGACGGAGGTGAGCCTTCCCAAAAAAAGCACCAAAAATACAACGTTTTTGCAATAATGCCATTCCCGCAATAGAACGAGCAAATTCAAACAAATCAGATAGTTAATGGTTAGAGCAGCTGGGCGTAAGCCAGAAGGCCCAGGTTCCAGTCCCGATCGGGGCAAATAATTCTTTGAAAAAATTTAATTATTAAAATGCACTCAGTAACGTGGTCACAATTTGGATTTCTTTACGACTGCGGAATATATTCTCCGAGTGTAATTGCGTCCAACTATGATGATAACAATTATATATTTATTGTGTTTATTTTTAAAACTAATTAAATTAGAATATTAAATAACTTTCGTCTCTACAAAAAAACTAGTAGAACTAAATTTGAGTGGCAAAGGCTTCCGGGAGGAGACTGAATACAAAAAATAAGTAATAATAAGCAATAATAAATTAGTTAGAAAATGCACGCGGGTGAGACAAGTCTCCGTAAGTCTTCACAAGAACAATCAATCCAACCGGATTCCACCATACAATTCGATACAACACGATGTACTACGTGCGCGCTTCCCGGTAACTAGCAAAGGAACGGTCGAAGCATCTCCTGATTTTTTACACCAGTAGTTCCAAAGTCTTGTAATTCATAAAGATACAAAATTTACACTTGTGTAATACTATTGAATGTTTTCTTCCCAAACACAATTCAAGAAAATAATAGAAATTTCATAGTAATAACTATTCTTTCAACTCGTGCAGCATACATTTTGTCGTTTATTTCCAATTAACCAACTCCCGGCAAAAGGTATCACCACTACATGATGCTCTTACGTTCACTAAGACTAGGGCTATACGAGCACCCGATTCAAGGACTTTCTCGCGACAATAAAATATTTTTCCTCTGGATTTTCTAAAACATTCTTCCAGGACTTATGAGTATCTGCCTTTCTTTGCCTGCACTACACCTACAAAAACGTCGAGAGCCGTCGAGAGACACGCGAAACGCAGGTGTGTAGGTCGGCGCGGGATCTCACGTGCCAGTGTGGAGGAAGTCCGCCACGTCGCGGCTGGCGCAGGCCTCACGGGGCGAATGTGCACTGCAGCTGTTGCAACAGGAAACCACAAAAACTTACTTGTCTTCTCGTGATCGGAGTCATTGGGGGAACTGAGGTCGGTGCTCTTCTGTTGCAGCGTACGCGCGGTGTGTGACCGACGCCTACTGCGCCGCGCGCGCCGTGCAGGGCTACATGGCCAAGTTCGCCAAGGTAAGCAGCAACTCACCGCAGCAGATGGCCCTCCTCCAAATTTCATTCCAACTTAAATTGTCGGCCATATCAGCAAGCTTACATTTCCTCGTTCAATCCAATTTAAAGTTCGATTTTGACGTAGGTTCACAAGGAAAGTGACGCATCCAAACCATTGTCACAGTGGAGGAAGTCGGTTTTGTTCGGAGCGGAACCGTTTGCAGATGGGAAAGAAATATTTTTTACTGTCGGCCAGGTGCCATTGAGACATGCGGTATGTTCCCAAGTGAGCGTTAGGCTGTGGGTTCGAATCCCACGTAAGACAGGATTGTGAGTTGTGGCATGGTATTCATTCCTGGCACATGATGTTCACACGAGAACATTATCCTTAATGAATTTCCTTTCCCTGGAATGTTGTGTGAGCGGGGAAAAGTGAAGATGAACGGCGTTTGGGTCCACGGGCCTCAGAGCCGTCTACGTTTGGACTGGCTCTCCATTCACATATGCCATGGGCTCATGAGCTGAGCATGGACGAGCTTGTCCAACATATTTCTGTACCCCCGCAACTTTTCTTGGCCGATGACCCACCTTCCCCCTCCTTGCTAAAGTAAACAGGAGAAGGTAAAAGCTCGCAGCGAACACTGATGTCAACATTCCAAACACATCCTTAGTGGCGCAAAATAGTAAATATTTGTTATAAAACTTAACTTCTATTTTCGTTTTTTAAATAAGGAAATGAAAGATGTCTATGATCTTCATAGGAGACATCTCGAACTCCTGAGAAAGGAGAACTTGTAATGTAATTATATAGAAAATTGCGAAGGCATGCGAGTTGGAAAAAGAGAACAAGATTTTGATTTATTCTCTAACAGGCCAAGAGTCAGCAAAACAAGTATGATAAGCCCAAAGCTAAAACCTTTTTGGAAGTTAGTCAATGTTTTGAAAAGTAGGGAAACGCAAGTATGACGGCCTTGAGGTGGCGGCGTTACGCTGCATAATTTTTTGTGTGTGTTGGAAATATCTATGACCTTGGGGGATGAGTACACAGCTCATTCTCGTTGTATATTGTTCGTTAGACAGCCAAAGTGTGAAGGAGTTGTATGCCATACGCAGTAATCTGTATACTATAACTGGATGTCGTACTTCACCGAGGAGGCCGTGCCTTCAGTCAGCTTCGACCGCCATATTGCGATTGGACAAAACACAAACCCAGCGATATTTATATCATAGAGGTCAGTACGCTAACTGCAAGAGCGTTAACCTCTCCTGGAGTGAAAATTCTGTATTTATAATAACTTGAGACCAAATAAGTTTAATTGCTTCTGACAATTAGTACTCGTATCATCGTACAACAAAAACTTCTGAGACCTTTTTAAACTGATTTAAATAGGTTCATGCAAAGAGTGTGTTCTTAGAGCATTACCTTGCTCTTATTGTTAAACTCAATGCTGTAATCAAATTGGACCACAAGGTCCTGAAAACACACCGTCATAGCCAATGTTACGTTCGTACATGGCCTAGTGACAAATTGCTCATCTTTGAATCAATATGGCGGCTACTTAGAGACGTCGAAACAGTACAGTGTGGTCATAGTCGGCAATGAAAATAGTTTTCTATTGTGTATGTATTATTTTCAAATTATTAGACCAAGAAATTAGCTTTGAACTCGCAATCCAAGAGGGCATACAATGACACTCTGAATTGAATATGACGGCCACATCGATATAGCAAACAACTCCTTCAGACCTTGGCTATCTAACGAACAATATACAAGAATTAGCTTTGTACACATTCTCCAAGAGCATAGTTACGCTTTTGTCACATTCAAAAAATTGTGCAGCGCAGCGCAGCGCCGCCACCAACAATCCGCCACAGAAATGCAGCCAGCATACTTGTTTCCAGATTCTTCATTTCACGAACGTCTCAAAACACACTAGCTTTGACCTTATCACATGTGTTTTTTCTTGCTGGCTCCTGGCCTATAAATATTGCTTCTGGCTTCTTCTTATACTGGAGGAAACATTTTGACGATACGGAGAATAAAGATTAAAAGAGACAATATTCCCAGAAATTGATACCCCCAGACACGTCTGGTAAGAAAGACAACATTCAATGACACCAATTTATCATACTCTATGGTTTTACACATTTTTATCAAATATTCACACATCTTCAAGCGAAAAGTTGTATTATAGCATTTAAGTCGTTAATAAATTTAGCCTTGTTAGTTACTACGAGTATTTACATTGACATAGATGATAATTAGAAATTCATTAAAAATTCGACATAGATTCGTTCCTTGAAGTAAACGTAGTCAGTATCCTTCCCAGGTCAAGACGCTTATCAGTAATGCATTGTAATGAAATATAGATTTCCATTTAAATTTTAAGAGGTCGGCTTTTTATAAAAACCACTCTAGTAGCTTATTTTTTAACTAGTATTCCCAATGTACCCACATTTTACGAAGCCATTGGTCCAGAAAAGTTGCGTGGATATTCCAATTTCCGTTATGGGCGCTCGAGCTACTTTGGCGCCGCGGGCGGGGGACTGGGGGCGACTGTGCTCATACGTGGGCCGCGGCGAAACGGCTAGCGGATCTGCTTTTCCCCGCTGGGGCGTGGGTTCGATCCCCGGCAGGAAATCTCTATCCACTTTGAGGAGTTCAAAGCGGCTTCCTCGAGGTCGTCCTTGCCTCTCATTCCAGCATTCATTCACCTCATCATTACTCATTAGTTCAGCACTTATGCGCCCATAGAGTTCAAAAAGCCCCTATAAATGAATGTTTGCATGTATCCTAGAACTGCTCCATGGGGTCTACTGAATCTCAACTACATTTCACTTTCTCGCAGAGTAGAAATTTGTGACGACAGTCAATAAAGTCACAAGACCCAGATGGCGGGCAGGGGGGCACGTAAGTAGCGTAAGAGGAACGGCCCTATCCAAGTGGCGCTGTCTGTTGGCAGGACTGCAACGGCGACGGCGCCATCAACTGCGACGACTACGCGGCCATCCACCGGTTGGGCGGCTACGGCTGCAACGGCAACGTGGACGCGGCCTACGCCAACCGCTACAACGCCTGCCGCAACACCGTCACCAGCCTCGGCCCCATCTGAGCAGCGCAAGCGGGCGACGGGGCGCGTGTGGAACGCTGGGGACGACCAAAACGTTACGTTAGCTTCATTGCGTAAGCCCCGTCAAAAGCCGCTTTTTGAATACGGCTGACGACGAGTTTGACTAACCACGCTGGCGCATTTACAAGACGAGGGCGAGGTTTCCACGTACGTGGTATTACTAAAAACCCTGCACGGGTTAATGCTGGGTTAAGTTATACCAGCAACATAATCGCCTATTCGCCTCGTTTTGCTTGCGCATTTCCAAGTAGGCGACCGAGCTCTGGCGTATCAACGAATAATGTGTATCTGTTCCTTTAAATACGCACGTTCCACACGCGTTCCATTGGGCCATTTGCTTTGGCGTTTGTCAAAAAAAATACTGGTGCTCTCTCTCATTACTGTACTCGCGCTGCTGCGATGCCATCAATAAACAACTGCCGCACTCTTTTACTAACGACTTTTATTTACTTATCGCCCATTCAGATGAAAAGAAAAGCAATAATTGCCCTCGAATTTAATTTTTCGATATTGAGATACTATCTGTTTATGCAGAACTTTGCCCACAAGGGAGGAAGGATGTTTCAAGCGCGATAGAGCATGTAGACTAAATAAAGCTCCGTTAAATTGGTTCTATGTACACAATTTTAAGTGAAAGTTATAGTCAATTATTCCGACTTCAGCAAAGTCAGATGTGCATGATCAGCAGTACCCTTGGTAACTTTGCGTTGATTTATATATCCCTTTCGGATAAAAGTGATGCAAATTCCGCCAGCAATAAGAACATTTTGTACCTAAGGAACAGGTATTATTAAAGTCCCACTTAAATCTAGATATATATATTTTTAAATATATCTCTTATTCAGTCAATAAACATCAACTATTTGCTTAATCTTGAATTAATTCTAAGCAATTTTTAACAAACATATATTAATTTTTATTGCCTTGGTTGCAGTGATGTGCATTTATTTTTCTTTCACAATGAAATCATTTTAATTCTTGAATTTACCTAACTTGATATATTGAAACTCAATCGCTATATCTTCAAAATATTTTTAAAGTTGTCGATGGATCTCTTGGTGACTGAGAGGAGATAGTGATACTTATAATAAGAAACAAATGATTTTACATCTGCAGATAAAGAGTAAAATTTAATTTAATCTAACAAATTACTCTTCAAGTGCATGCAAATAAATTTAAACAAAACGAACATTTATCATTGGCGTCACGTACGGACCGCTATGTAGACAATTCAGTTTAATAAGACATTTCTGTTTAATTATAAAAATTTACGGATGCTTAGTTTTGATAAAAGCCTCCACAAATGTGTACAAAACGACACACTCTCTAATGTCCATGGAAACGTACATGCTTCATTGAGGAGGAAAGTGGTAGGCAGAATGCCAAGCCCAGAAGCCTCAAACGGAGAATTTTTACCAGAGACGTCAAAAATAAAAATTAATGATTACTGAAGGAGCCACCGACAGAAATGACAATTCTATGAAAAATGCTTGCTACCCACAAGTTTATTTGTTATTTATCATTACATAGATTGTTCCATATACCCTCTTTTTAATTTTTCAGACAATAAACTATTACTATTTCTGTCTTTTCTAGTAATTCTGGCTTCGTGTTAATTCCACTTTGGTTTCATCCTCGATCAACATTATAGTAATTTGTTTTCTACGTATCCGATTCAGTACTAATAGCCTGAATTAAGCATTGATCAAGAATCAATGAAAAATTCTTTTGTGTTCTTTTGAGTTCAATCTTTAGGTTATTTTCAACAAATACTATGCAAGCCAAATAGGCTTCAACAAGGTCAAGATATGCTTCAATTGATAAAAAAAGATGATTCTACCAACAAACTAACTCTATGCATGAAAAAAATTAAATCTCTAGAAAGCAATATTTAAATATTATATGCAATTCTTATACAACCGAACAACGCATTTAGTGGAGCAATTATCGATGTTTAATTAGGTTCCAAAACTTGGTGGCAAACTACGATTGGATTGGGGGTACACCTGTTCTATAATGAACTTTATAATAATTACATTCCAATGTAGCAAACTTGATTAGAGAAGAATACAATGGAAATATATAGAAACATATAGAATACTATAGATATCATATAGAAATATAAATATTAATTATGTATTGCTTATTTGTTATTCTGCAATGAGAACGCAACCGTATTTTGCGCGATGAAAAAGTAATGGTGGTTTATGCTATAAAGTTCTTTCTCTTGTCGGATTGCTAGAGAATAAAAAAAGAGCAGAATTTTGTGATCAGTTAAATCAAAAGGTTTTTAAAGATCCAAGAAAACATCGATATACTTGTTTTGCTTTTCCTATAAAACTGAAATTTCGGAAACGATTTGGTGAACGCTACCACATTTATTAAGATTTAATTCCACAACAAATTAAGACGTTTTTGTAATACTAATCAAACGGAAACTTGAAGTAGTTTCGAAAATAATTTTCATTTCCACTTTTTGAAAAGTTGATACACATTTGCAAAATATCTAGAAAACGTCCCGTATTCAAGAAAATCTTGGAAATATGGGACAACGATTGGGCTAAGACACAAGCACGTGTATTAAAATATAAACATGAAATAATTATTATCCCTTAATAATTGTTATATTTTTAAATGTTTAATATTATAAACCTAGTGGAAGCGTCCTTAACACTGCATCGCACTGTTACTGGAGACTTTGAATAAGACCAGTTCTGAAATAGGCCGAAGACAAAGGCATGGATCATGTTTTGCAAAGCATATGAGAGGTTAATAAGTGCTGAAAGAAACATATTATTAAGTGTTTACTAGTGAGGCTGAAGAAAATCCTTCATTGGCCGTTAAACATAGCCGAACACACATCATGCATCACGGGAGCGTTTTCACCAAGAGTAATGATTGCCACAGAGAGGTAAGTACGAAATGAGTTCGAGTGACAATTCTGAAACGGGATGCGTGTGTCAGATTATTTTAACTGTGAGCCCGATCTCCATGAAAGTAGGCACATGAACGTGTTTTTTCACCCAGAAGTTTTACGAGCAGTTAGTTTTGTTGTAACTTTACTAGATGCCCCTGCAGAACAAAATTGAACGTCATTTTTTTCCATTTCCATTCAAACTTCTCCCCGGCTGGGATTCATTGTTGGGTCGGCGTGTAACGCTGAGCGTTCGTGTGACGCAGGGCGAGGCCCAGGAGATCAAGACGGGCGCGCACGAGAAATAGAGAAAGAGAGAGACTATTTTTTTTGTTTATTTTATTTATTATTTACAAAAGAAATTAATATATTTTTCAGAAAGAAAAATTAACACAGAAATAAAAAAGCAGTCGAACTGTGTAAATTGAGTAGTTTTATTTCTGCGTTAATTTTTCTTTCTGAACAAATATATTCAACGGGTGGTAGGCAACATTGAAATCTTAAATAGGAACCCCCATTTTTTATTTCAGATTCGGATTCTATTGAAGTCATATTTTATACAGTTAAAGCAGCCCCCTCTGGGAAACAAAGTAATCTATCAATACGTTTGGCGCTGGTTACGGACGGGGGAGGGGGTGCGGGCCGTGAAATATAAATCCTCTTATTGTTTTTTTTCACGATCAAAAACCAAAAATTTAAAAACTGAATGAAAATATGTTAGGAGAACGAATATGTTAGGAAAATCTTAAATACATATTGCTTCCTGCGTCGCTTATTGTCAAAAGAATAGAAGCTATTGAAATGTTATTGTAGTTAGCATAAAGCCTGCAAGTGAACGTTATTGCAATATCTTTATTTAAAAACCATTAAACGAAAAACAATAAAGAAATGAGTTGTGATACGAACAACAACCACAACGTCGATTCAATATAGCAGTTGAATACACCGCCACTCGCATGTTTTGATTTCAAAACACATGATGGCCACTAGTTCCACGAGCCTCCACCGAGACCGCTGAAGCTATAGAAACAGCCACTCCTTGTAGTATATTCTAGCTCGTTCAATAAAGTAATGGTAGAAACTGTCATAAGTTGCTGACTCAAATTATAAACAAATCCAGTGGTTGTTCTAAAATTGTACTTACAAAAACAAAAATAATTTATATATCACATGGTAAAACAGGTTTCTGTTGATAATTCGGTGTTAATTTATTTTGTACATTGAAAAATATATTTATTAAAATTGTTTTTCATGTCAAATTCATTTCGCCGCCGTCTCACTACGGTGTGTATCACGCCATCTGTTGACAGATACTTATTTTGTAGTATGAAACCTCTCGATAGATGGCAGATGAGTGGGACACTGCCAAGGGCACAGCCTAGTTCTATGAATCTCACAGCCTTCATGAGCTTAAATGGCTCGCATTTCAGGGCAAGTGTACAACACGAATTTCCATGCTCTACGTAACATCATTGAGCTGTGCCAGTGAAAACAGCATAAGGCCAGACCGCTTCAGATGTATTCCCACGAGTTAAGAGCCCATCTTCGCAATTGTTACACCCTTTGCCAGCTTCTTCTCCGGTGGTTTAAACTACAAGGCGGAATTTTAAAACATAAGTTTTATTTTAAAGAGGTCATACATAAATTACTTAACTCTAAAAAGAGGGTGGGGGTTTGGTGGGGGAATTATTTTTCAAATCCATTTCCCTACTCCTAACTGCGTTGTCCTAACCATGTATACAGTATTACAGTTTTTCCTTTTCATTTTGAGCTTAGAACCTTTTGTGTCGACTAAAACAAAAATAGTACGAACACACGTTGTAGTGTATGTAATACAGGCATCTTAAAGTTTAGGGCTCATATACCCACCACAGTTGGGGACTCATGTTACAACTATCGCTGTATTAAAATTCTGCAAACAAGAATCTATCTTTGTTACGTTCGATTACAGGCATAAAACAATATTTAAAATATATTGTATTTCATTCGTTATATATTAGAATCGGTCTAAGTGAATTCAAACTGTATTTAAAAGCTGATGACTTTCCTCCTAAAGCTTTTAGAACATAGAAAACACGAACACCTCTGTAACACATCAGCTATCATTCACAACTGAACCACAGAGCTATGATGACACAAAGAGTTACTAAAATAGTAGTTAAAATCGAACCTGCTAGTATATGTGCTATGTAGGAACAGATACTAAGGGGGCACATTGTTATCTATTATATAAATAAAAGTGAATGTGTGTATGTGCGTTGCACATTGACTACTACTTCAACTTAACAACTACACCACCGATTTCGCTGAAATATTCACACTTTGTTAATATTATCAATGAGAGTGTTTAAAGAACGGTTTGAATTAAATCGGACATGTGGGGGCGTTTATGTTTTATTCGTTTATAGCAACTCAAGCGTCCCTGAACTCTACGCAACCGCCGCACACTAAAGCATTAAGATCGTCTTCACTGCATACAAGTATTCTGCCCCTGCGATTGTGAAAAAACGTGTATTACTACTTGAATCTCGGAAAAGTACATCAAATTTCTTCAAGATAGTTGCATAGGGAACGCATGCCCAAATTTGAGAGAGAACGTTTCAATAACACGATATTTACATAACATGATATTTGATACACCAGTTTTCAGAACTGGTCCCAGAGGAAGTGGATCATACCAACTTCACGAACATCACCCGCCATTCTAACGACATTGGTTTAGGGACTTTTCGTTGCACTTTAAGTTTAGTAAAGGTCCAGTTCAGGGGAGTCAGCTGTCAATCAAACTCCCCATATGTTGGCGTACATACTGTAGTAATATTTGTGAATAGCTACGGTTGGCATCTTTTTCATTTGTTTCATTTTTTACTAACATGTTCGAAATTGCACTCTTGAATGCATGTTCGCAATTTTTAATTGAATTTGACCATTTGTTGTGATATTCTCATCGTATTATTTGTTTTTGAATTTTTAAATCAAACATTTGTAACAACAGTGAATAGTTTAAGCGAACAATAGTTTAAAAAATAGCTTAAGCGTGATAACATTACGCATAAAAATAGGTTAAATTACGAATATTAACTAAAACAGCAAGATACAATATTATTACTCTATTTTGGAATTAGACATCGAATATAAAAGAGAAAGGATGATTATATTATTAATATTATAAAATTTAAATTGAATTATTTATTAGTATTTTATGGTATCCTCTATATTCATTTTAATTGCTAAAAATATACATCTAAGACTAATTATTTATTCATATTTCATCTCATTTAATCTTCATGAATTCATCATTAAATTTAAGAAAACCTCTATTTGCTTTTTTTATGATGTTAGTATTCTTTTAATTTTATAGGAATGTATTATTGCGGTCTTACCCTATATAGTATCACCTCTTTTGACTGAGTGTTTTTGAATACACGTGTTAATGATTTGATTGCTTATTTGTACATTTATAGTACGTTTTCAATAGTTTTTACTTTTACTTTTAGGAGTTCTTTTAAACAAACATAATTCTTATATTATTTATTGATATGTTAATAAAAGAGCTAGAAATAATTTAAATATAGGTCTACACAATTCAAATCTATTCACCTTTGCTGAATGAGCTAGTTTTATTTTAATTTTTAATGTCTTGTGTTCGTGGTGTTCAACTGCAGAAAATTATTGAAACGTTTTGGCATTTTTCACTCATGGCTGACCCAAAAATGAGTGTATGTAATTCACAATGAGAACAAAGATTTATTATTAAGTCTGGCCAGAAAGTCCATGAGCAGATCTAATATGTAGGTATCATAAGTCAAATTAGACCAATACTGCTAACATTTTGTGTAAAATGTGAACATTTTAAAAATACATATTTATTGTCAGGATACATGGTAAGTACAGTATATTATTATTCGTTCATTTTAATTTTAATATGTTTATATTTACCTTTATAAATTCTATTTAAATGTTTTAAGCAGTTATTGTATAAATTAATTTGTTTCAAGTGGTAAAAGTAATAATGCTGAAGACCATACTTTTCTAGGCTTACTCTCTATCATTGCGAACTCAATATGTGTGGTCTCAGACAAAGGGATACTTTAATAAGAATGTCCTTGCAAGATCTTTCCAGGGAATGGAAAAGTCCAGATATTTTTGGAAGTAGGCTTTAGAGCAGGTGTCTTGGTTAGGTACATTCATTTTCATATTTACCACAACGAAACTGAGGTGCAATGTCTTAAATTCAATAAAATATTATGAATTCATTACTTACATTTTTTAGGTGTCAAATGGAAAAATGCAGTGGAGCATGCTGAGAAAATTATGAATGAATATAGAGAAAAGCATGGGGTAGTCTTCATACCTAGTTTTCAGCGTTGAATATTCAGATGAAATATTATTGTAGGACTATGGAAATTATAAAATGCAGACAAATACATTTTAAAAAATACTATGATATCCAATTTTTTAAAAATTTTCCTTTCATTCCTTCTATATCCTCATCAATATTTACAATATTTTTAAGAATCTGATTTGTTAATTTATTCCTCCAAAGGTTTCTAATTGTACTTTGATTTTACAATGAAGTAAAACATTAAATTTCTCATACTTCAGCATTATGAGTTTCAGGAGAAAATTATCAAAATAATTGTTTTAAATGATAATTATTTCAATGTTTCAAAACATTTAGCATTAAAATTAATATTATAATGAGAGAAATTCTTGATGTCTCGAATTGCGTATATTTGAATGTAGCGCCAAAACCTAGCTTAATATACATTTTTGGCAGGACCGAATGATCGCCGTATTGAAAATTCTAGGGTTTAAAGTATGCTGAAAAGCCCTATAACCATGTTCAAACCAGTTCATAGAACAAACCCATACTTGCGATAAAATCTTTCTCTATTAGAATTTTTTCATAGCTTAGCGTAAAACGTGATCAACAATTACGTGGTCAGTATGCAACACTTTGCCGGGTCCAGTAGTATTATATAAATGGCTCATTTTACCACCTTTATCTCTAATATTTTAAAGTGATGTTTCGCAGGTCTGTGAAATCAGATATTACTGCGAAACATTTTTGCATCGGGTGAGTTTAAAAAATTTTATTCAAGTATTCAACGATCGTTGAAAAGAAATTATCACTGAATAATCAGAAAGGTACTTATAATCAAATTTATAAATGTTGAAACAGTAACGCCTTTCCTAAACAAAGATGGAGAATAAACGGCTCTAAGATTCATCGTGTGTTAAACGTTTTACTCCTGCATAACATTTCGATTTCTTACTCATCATTATTTCGTGTAGAATTCATTCGTTTTGTTCTCTTGAAATATATTTCACTTTCATGTCTAATACAATTGAGAAAAATACGTAAAAATAATTTACTTTTTTACTTTTCAGAGTACAAAATACGCAAAACAAAGAGACGGAGGAACAAATCTGGTTTGAAATATAAATAGTTTTTAATTGTTTGATTTATTAAAGTGTTGTAATATTACAGTAAATTTTTAGATTAGTTTAACACAATTACATAAGCGAAGGAATAATACATATTGTCACATTGTTTGAATCCTCTCATGATCAGCATCTATGTACTGCTTCATAATAGCCTAATATAAAATCATAATATATCATCACCGTACATTATTGGTGAATTGCAAGATAACGGCAGGTTTTTTCTTCGTAAATTAATTTTTATGTCAGTAAGTGTAGAGACACTAGAGAATCAGAGAGTCAGAGAATTTATTTTAATTTACACGGCATTGTGATTATTTTCTATTATAAACACATTCTTATCTTATCTAAGATATTCTTTCATTGAATGACCAAGAAACAATGAAATATTCCTAGAATAAATCTATACAATTGTAATTTAAGTAATGTACCACTATTGTGATTTAAGTAAACTCCGAATTTGCAGAAAAATACATTATGGCTGATAGATTTCGACCTTACTTTTCCATTTTATTTTAAAATTTTTCATTAAACTGACCAAACTCTTTCATTTGTTATGTCTTAGCGTAAAAGAAAATAAACAATTAATCCACTAAGATAAGATTTGTTCCGTTTTTCGAAAGAGAATATAATGTGGCAAGCTAAGCTCTCGCATTACTTCATAATAAAATAATAGCAAATACTAAATACTCTAATGCTGAATCCATACATAAATTCACGTATTGCTCGACATAGCAGCACATTTATAGGGGTTTATTTTTTACATTGCACACAATTATAAATTTTGAGAAATTTGTTCCGTGTGTTTATGGCAGTAAAGCCTAGTAATTTTGAAATTTTCTACATAAATTTAAAGTACTTAAATATTTTTTGGTCACATAATGTAGGTTCAATACATTTGCTCTCCAATTCATACTGATGTTGTAGTTGTCTCGGCCAAAAGGAAAAAAAACAAAATTGGATGTTCATATGACTACAATATATATGAAAATGCCCTCCGTATATTATAGTAACACTAACGCTTAGAATTTGTCTGAACCTCTTAAATTTGATTCATTATTTTTAATTATGCTGAACAATACAACCAGATAGCACAAGCCGCTAGTTTGATTTGTTAGATCGCAAGACTAATTTTGAAAATATTTTGAAAGTAATATATTCGTAATCCAAGAAAAAATATATTCTCCAGGTAAAATATGATTATTGGGTCATTGCCACAAAGAAGGACCTCGTTGAAAGTATCTCATCTCGGCTCTCCCAAGCAGCGGAAGGAAGGTTGAAAACTCGTGCGCTGTCGGAACGCTGCTCAAATGTTCCTCGGGACAACTGAGCTGCTACGGCTTCATTTAGACAGAACAGTACGCCCAAGAGGATCTGGATCTGCCAGAAAACAAAAATAAATTATACATTTAAAAAAAGATACTACTTCTTAAAAAGTAAGCTATATCCTTTTGTTTTCTTCAAAAATTACACAAATGAATTTTTTGGCATGTCACTCAATTTGTTAATATTCATATTAGCTATAATTTGTTCACATTATTACATTTATGAGAAAATGTGCTTTAAATAATATACGGCAAAGTTTCTCGAAAATGCAACCATTTTCTGTGTAAACTAGCTTTAAATTTCGCATTTTCAGAAACTCTCATATGCCATTTTCTCAAAAACGTCTTCAAACTTTTCGAATGGATAGTTCTAATTGCACTTTTTAATATGACGTAAAGTTCATTTTGTTTTTTTCTTTCTAAAAGTATACAAATGTAATTTTTTGGAAGATCTCTCACGCTGTTAATATGCTCATTTTCACCAATTTGTAAACACTATCGTATTTGTGAGTTAATGTGCCTAAAATGACTTGTTATATAGTTTTTGAAAACTGAAATATTTTCTGTGAGAAAGAGCTTCAAATTTGGAATTTACATTAGCAGTTAAACGCCATTTTCATGAAAATGACTCCACTTTTTTAAAATAAAATTGCCATTTGAGGCGAGGTTCTATTGATCTTTAATATTTTTAAAATAATATTTCCGTTATACTTTTAGGAAACAGAAAAATTGGGAAAGCTTTTAAAAAAAGTACTTTGGGAGGTGACAGATGGCAGCTGGCAAGGGTATGTTGCAAGTCCGAATAGCTTGCCGAGACCAAAGGAAATAGAAAACTAATACCCAAAAGTCTGTGCCATTCTGTGGCACCACTAGTTTATTAATTCTTACAAGACAAAAGGTGCATTTTTGTTGTAGTTTATGAAAAAACAATGATATTTTAAAATAAGACAAAAGCCACAGAGTAATTTTTCACGAGTCTTGAATCTTAAAATAGCTGTTATGTTGTTTTTTTAAAAGTGACATAACATTTTCCTATCTTAACTCAGAATTATTGAGGAGCCTATATTTTCTAATATTTGTTTAGCTTTCGTAAGAAAAACCTATTGTCTGCTTCCTCAACATACTTCTACAGATGCACATGCGGGAAAGCAGGACCACTACGCTGCCACATGAAGTTATATTGTTTTATAAAAAAAGAGCGGATTATTTATAACTGTGAAACTATTTAATTTCCTTTCTTGGACATGTACACTACGTCTCCTCGCAGTCACCATTTCTGTCCAAATACTTATGGTGTCTTAGCAGCAGTTTTTTGATACCTTCGTTATACCAGGTTACGTGCTGACGTCGTAGCCTGTGGTTCACCTTCTTTTCCACCTCTTCATCAGTCGCAAACGTCTTGCCTGCAAGGCGCAACATCAGTTGTGGAAAGAGATTCACAGAATAACGGGGATAGGGAAGAGTTCCCATTTGAAGTTCTCCAGCAAATCCAGGCCCTTCGAGCTGCATTGGGGGGGGGGCAACACTTTCAGAGAATACAATACCATAATGTTTTTGTTTGATTGCAATTCCAATTGAGGTTCTTAAGGACCAAGTAGTACCTTAGGCTGTGACGGTAGTGCTTCGGGACAGATAGTCAATCAGTGAAACACCCTTTCAGTCCCAAACCATTGTAGTCATAACTATACCCGCAGAGGCTGAGGTCTTTGCCTTTATTGGTGCACGTTCGCCATTTCTTCCCTACCATGCTTTGTCGTTTTGTTTCTGGAGATGAGTGATGCAACCAGCTTTCATCCGCAGAGGCAATGTGGGAAAATAGTTGATCGCCCTCTCTTTGATGCATTTGCAGGAAAGCTCAGGCAGCCGCGACCCTTTTTTGCTTGTGAGCACCAGTAAGCAAACGCGGAATATATCTTGTACATGCCTTTTGAATGGAAGGCAGCTGACAGGGTCGTCTCAATAGAGGAGCGTCCAATTTTCATACCAGGAGCCACTCCAATCAATATCATCAGTTTCTGATGCGCTGATTTTTGTCCACCACATTCCGAACTGTAACAATGGCCGCTTTGTGTGTGGCGGTAACGGGTCTGTCGCCGTGCTCGTCATCATGGATATTATACCGTCCTCCTAGGAACCATGAATGCCACCGGCGAACCATTTGGATGCTCATGCACCCCTCACCTTAAACAGGCTAACTGGCGAAGAATATTGATATCAATTTCATTTTTCGCTTTGAAAAAGCCAGAGAGCAGAGATCACTGTGGCGGCCGGAATTATGTTAGTGGTGACAGTTAGGGACGCTACATCGATGTTCCCTATTCTCGATATTCAACATTAAAACATCGATGTTAATAAAGCATTCATCAAAACCAATCTATGTTTTTAAATATAGATGCGATGTTTAAAAGTTGGTTACGTAATCTTAAAAATAAAAGTGAAGGTCAACAAAATTTATTTTTAAAGTAACCGTGTTTATTTAGTTATAATTAAGATAAAACTGAAAACAAACTAAAAATAATAAGAAACAATTAAAAATACTCAGCCTGAAAGCCTGTGCGCTCACAGTAATCGTAAGATATCAGAGCTTTCTCAGTTCGCTGAAGAAGGGTACGGGAAGAAGAGCGGTAGCCCTACGCCCACGGCGAACGCCTCCTTTCCATGCGCGAAACACAAGGTAAGACGTACAAAATACCAGGGCGTCGGGATCATCCTGAGCGAGAGGTAGGCCGCTCGATGAAGATAGTGTCATTAGTGCACTCTATCGAACAGAACGTGAACCAATATGCCAATTCGATTTTGGCATCGTCTCATCCATACGAGACGCATACAAACCAACACAACACAACACACATCGGCAGACTTTTAATTCATAGGTGGAGGAGTATGAGATTTAGGAGTAGGCCGACAGATAGCACTACGCCTTTTGCCTTTGAAGAGAATATTGATAGAGCATCGATTGACAAGGCGGTCGTTCATATGAATATAAATAACAATATTTGTGAAGAAACGATATTTTATACACACATTTGTGGTGCAAAATGTATGCTCTTTTCTTTTTGTTGGTGGTGGCTTTGCACACTGGCACTACCCTACAAACCACAACTTTGAGATCACAACCGGACATGCAATATATGATGTGTAGCTCCATGGCAGATGGTGCCGTACTGACGAGCGCGTATGAGTCGCGTGCTGTTGAAGGTCAAATGCTGCCACCATACCACAATACCAATTCCCACCATATCAATTTCTAGAGTACCAACTTAAATTTAAACCATGCGGTTTACTGAGAAAAATAGGAAAAACTAATTATTGGATAACTTACGTATTTAGTCTTTACGTTGCTACGTGTTTTCATGTATCAATTCATTAGAGTAAAAAAGTTACGTCCAGAATTTCAGAGCTAGAGAAAACGTGCACCGAGAGCCTTCTTCATCCATGTCTCGACGTTTTAAATCTCTTTACGTCAAATAAATAATTTAAGTAATACTGTAAATTCGTCCCCCTCAACTGCAAATACCCACCGTCGTCCTTGGGGCGGCAGCGCTCGTAGCGGGCGGCGTACAGTTGGCCAGCCTTGCTCTGGTTGAGCGGCTGCTCGCAGCTGTAGCCCCCGTTGAAGTGGATCAGGGCGAAGTCATCGCAGTTTATCAGACCGTCGCCGTTGCAGTCCTAAAGGCACAAAATTACCCTCGTTGCAGCCTAAATCCATAAAGTAACCGCCATTGTAGTAGTAAATGAACAAAAATTTCAATCGTCAAAATAGCTGTAGTACCAATGGCAAGGTTTCCCAAGATACTCTTCCAAAATACGCAAAATTAAAAAATATGCAAAGTACTGACTAGAACGAGGGAACAATACGCACATACTAAATTATACGAAGAATTAATGACGTTGACATTTTATTCACGTACTTCTGCGATGCTTTCTTTGGACGATTCAACAACTACACTCCATTGTTTTGTTTCAGTGTGCGATTATCAAATTAAATTAGGAAACGTATTTTCATATAAACGCATAGTTATACATTTACAAGAATATACATTGCAAGCACTAAATTCGGCCAATGACCGACATCTGACCCACGCTCTGTACTGAAGACCCCTCCTTTGATACGTCCATCTGTAATTGTCCGAAATGAAATACTCTCTACACGTTGACATAAATGCATTTGCCCAATCACCAATCCAACAGGGAATCGCGAGAGGAATGGAGTCGTATTTAAAACACAAGCTTTGCTGAACAAGAAAGGGGAGTAGACGTTTCGCTGCGTGTGTCCCTGCAATGCCCAGACGAGTTTTCGGCCTTCGCGATTAACAACAAACATCTTTAAGTCGCTACAACGCATTTTGTTTGAAGCCCTTTTTGGACGAACACGATTACGGACGCCTCGCTACGTGTGTCGAAGTTCGCGATAAGGATGTACTTGCGGTGACCGAGCAAATGTATTTACCCCTAACGAGCTGTGGTAATTCATTTCAGACAGATACCGAATAGAAATACTTACATATGGAGGATGTACAGAAACATGTAGGAAAATGATGAGAGACAGTTGGGAGATTTATGGGGAAATAACGTGACGTGAAGGACAGATGAAGGCGTATGGTACAGGTAGAGACGTGAGGGGACCGGTGAGGCAGTGAGGGACAAATGGGTCATGTGGGGGACATGTGTGGAGGGACAGGTAAGGAAAAGATAAGGGACAAGTAGGAAATCGGTGAGAGGCAGATGACCCAAAATGCATTATGTGATCAAAAGTATCCGGACACGTCCAAAATGATGTTATGATGTGGTCGTGTTTTTCAAGGAGGGGGCTTGTACCCTTTGTTGTTTTGTGTGACACTATCACGGCACAGGCCTACGTTGATGTTTTAAACACCTTCTTGCTTACTACTGTTGAAGAGCAATTCGGGGAATCTTTAAACGATCTACTACCTTCATACTGCATGGCCTGAGGCGGAGCGGTTACACGACAATAACATCCCTGTAAAGGACTTAACTGCACAGAGTCTTGAATTGAATCCTATCCAACACCTTTGGGATATTTTGGAACGCCGACTTCGTGCCAGGCCTCACCGACCCACTTCGATACCTCTCCTCAGTGCAGAACTCCGTTAAGAATAGGCAGCCATTCCCCAAGAAACCTTCCAGCACCTGGCTGAAAGTATGCCTGCGAGAGTGGACGCTGTCATCAAGGTTAAGGAGAGGTCAGCAAGATATTGAATTCCAGCATTACCGACGGGGGCGCCACGCACTGGTAAGCCACTATCAGACACGTGTCCGAATACTTTTGATCACATAGTGTAGGTGTCTGAAGTGGCACCTATTCTATAAAATGAGATCTTTTCAAATTTTCTTATACATTTCCCAAAGGGTTGGAGATATTCCTCTTGTCTTCCTAGTACCATGCCTCCACGACATGCATCGTGCAACAATATATAACTAACTCTTATATAATTTCTCCATGAAATTTCCAAGCAGTTCCTTCATACCTTTTTCAGTTTCGACATGTAGCTAGTCACTAGTCGGGAGCTGCACATATACTGCCGAGCACAGTCTTCGTACGCTAAAACAAACATATAACATTTTACAATCCATTTTTTGGCTACAGACATCATAGGATTTTAATTGAAAATTTGATATCTATATTAATTGCAACGATAGTGAACGATACAAGAGATAAATTTACGTGACGCCAATGAAATTATTCCAAAAGCTTTATCGCAAAATAATTACTTTAAAGACGTAGAAAGAATATCAAGGCAAAGTGAGAAAAGAATGAAGATGAGAAAAGAGAAGCAGGGAGTAAGAGGTGCAAAAGGAAGACATAGAGAGAGAGCTCACCGCCGGCGCGCTCGGGGTCGTCGTTGGGCAGCGTGATGTTGCCGGCCTCCATCCAGTAGAGGCGCGACACCTTGAAGGGGCCGCAGTAGCCCTTGACGCAGCCGATGCGCGCGTCGCAGCCCGTGGCCGCCTCGCACAGGCAGCGCAAGCACGCCCGGTGCAGCGCGGGCAGCCACGCCGCCGCCTCCTCTGCGCACGCGCGGCACAACTCACTGGCACCCCACCCTCCTCTGCGCGCACACACCACACACGCACACTATCCAGGCACGCGGCCATTCTCTGCGCACACACAGTACACATTCCAGACACACGGCCATTCTCTGCGCGCACACAGCACACATTACAGACACCCTGACATTCTCTGCGCACATGCAGCACACATTCCAGGCACACGGCCATTCTCTGCGCGCACACAGCACACATTACAAACACCCGGCCATTCTCTGCGCACACACAGCCCACATTCCAGACACACGGCATTATCTGCGCGCACACAGCACACATTACAAACACCCTGACATTCTCTGCGCACACACAGCCCACATTCCAGGCACACGGCCATTCTCTGCGCGCACAGAGCACACATTACAAACACCCTGACATTCTCTGCGCGCACACAGAACACATTCCAGGCACACGGCCATTCTCTGCGCGCACACAGCACACATTACAAACACTTCATTACTGCTGTTCCAAACATGGTTAAGATTGGTGTGAATCGCGACGTTAGGCGTGTTATTTTTACGCGAAAATCTGGTCCAGACGGCTGTATGGTCGCATGGATTACGTATATGTCACTCATATGTCATTAGAGGCTTGTGAGCTGAAAGTCAGGAGTAAGATCTAGCTGTGCCATTGCGGGGATTGTGAAGATATTTTAATTTTTAGAAGTGCTTGACATGAAGCCACAGTGACATTTTCAAACCTTTGAGGAAACTGGCTGCAAATTTTTTCGTTAAATGTTTTGCTCGAATAGAAGAATGTGCACTTCTAGATAACGTTTAGTTCTGACTTTTTTATACCTCTGAAACTTTACAAATACCAAAAGTTAAATTTTATTTTCGAATCTGTCCAACACCTCCAAAGTCGATATTTCGTTCTCATTTCAATTTATCCGTGGTGTTGTAGATTTTTAGATTGTGTCATTTAAAAAGAGTTGACGCAAAACACTAAGAGGAACAAGAGTTTCTGTGTGCCGTGCATTTCCACTAACTACGTAGTTCCTTTGTGGCTCCAGGCTGTTAAACGAGACGCGTTGGCGCGCCAACTGGCGCAGGCGCCTCTGCGCATGCACTGCACCTGCGCGCCTTGCACCGCCCGCGTGCGCTGCGCCGAGCCGGTGCGAGTAATTTCCCCCTCGCAACCCGCGGTCAAGGCCAACGGGCTGAGCAGCAGCTTCACGGAAAACCTGCCTCACTTTCCTTCACTATTCTCATTGGGGAAGGGGCTGGGCTGCTGTTTTAGCAGACTTTCTGCTAGATTTAGCGAATTTTGAACTGTTTCAGTTGAAAAAATACTAATAAGTTGGTGGAGAAATTTTGCGCATTTTACGTAATTATTACTGCAAGAGTTCATGAAATACGAAAAATGCAATAACAATGTCCCACACTTGTATGCAGAAGTTAAAAGAATTTTCTGACAGAGAAAATCATAAAAACAAAACAAAGAAACATAAGAACGGAATGAAGTTGCTATCGATTGGCGCTATATTGACTATAGAATTTAGTTCTCGAAGGAATGGTAAATGTTACGGCTATTACACGTTTGAGAAAAGGGATTTAAAACAAAATGAATTGAGAACATTAAAATTCCAAATAAATATTAAAAGCTATCGTTTTAATTCAAATATATCATCCGATAATATAAAAAGTTGAATAAAAAGTGGTATATAAGTTTAAAACAAGAGTGGTCATTTAAGCGGAATTACATATTATTCTAGGAAATAACGTTTAGCAGATATTTTAGCGGAATCATAAAACATCTAGCATTGAAATTCCAATTCGAAGCGGTAACACTATGAAGGGATTAGGAAAAACAGGCATTTCAATCTATCTCACGCCGAGGTGGCTTGACCATAAATGGTGATACCAATCAATTGATTGTTAGTGATTCCGGGTGCGTCAACTGCTTAACGGCATGACTCAGGGGTCAGCTCAGTGCTACAGTTAGAGATCAGAAGTTTTCACAAGTGAATCCCTGAATCGAAATCCTCAATAAAAAATAATATTGTAAGAATTGTTGCAAATCAAGTCAGAAGGCTGTAGTGAATATGTACGCGAATGAATTGGGTCAAAAAATACATCTAAATGTGCATGTCTTAAATACCACACTTCAAAGCGCACGTATTTACTTTAATTACGCTTTTAATTAAACTCGAAATATATTAAATTTTAATCAGCTTATGTTTGAAAATAATATTTTAAAAGAAATTATGAAATTTTTACTTTTCTTGCTTTCTAGCTAAGTAAAAACACAGATTTCATGCAATCATTACCGATTGACATAATGATAAGAATGGCAGGGAGTAAAATGATTCAATCACTTTACATAGCTAGACCATTAGTCAGATGAAATCAACGAATGATCCGTTCACCATTATTCGTAGTTTCATCCAAAGCCTCGATAATCCACAAATTACCCACCTATTCTTAATATTAGCTTACTTCGTTACTCCTTACTGCTTTCTATACACATGCGGTAGTTTCGTGAACGCATTTGTAAAGAAGTTGGATAATTGTATTTATTATAATTATTCTACCGTAATAGTCGACTTAACGCGAATACGCGAAAGAAAATACGCGCATAACGGTCGACGTTCGTTATAGCTATAACGTCATTAAAGAAACAAACAGGAAGTGTCATTAGCCGAGGTTTATAACAAACCGAGTCTATTTTTTGTGTTATTGCCCGCATATCTTTCAATAATACCACATAATCTTTTATCCGTATTTATTTTTGTCCGTTTGTATATCTTTTTGTAAAATCATTTTCATACAAAAAAATAAAGATAAGAAATATGATTTCTTGGAATAAGTGTACCCATATGCCGACTTAATCAACTGAATTGATGTTAAAATGTTTATAAAACCCTTGAATGTTTTGAAAACATCAACATGGATGTCGCATCCCCGTTATGCATGAGACCTACTAAAACGGTGTGCCCGTGGGTGCCTTCGGGTGACGGAGGGGTCCGCGCCTCTCACCTGTTTTCGCCTGTGGCGCCACCGCCACCATCGCCACCGCCGCCACGAGCGCCGCCGCTGCCGCTGCCGCCGTCATCTCGCCTCCCGCTGACCGAGCCTTCCGCCTGGCGACTGGCCGGCCCAAGCGGCGAGCGCGGCCGGCCGGCGGCCAACGCGCGGGGGGAGGGGGCGGGTGAGGACATCGGCCGCGCGCTGGCGGGCGGCGGCGCTCGCGCTGCGGAGTCCCGAGTGCCCTTTCTGCGAGGGATAGAGCAGGGCGCGGTGTACTTCGAGTGTCCTTCATATTGTCCTTTCACAGGTCATCAGCTGCTACCGTGTCATCCAATCGGGACGTTAAATGTCACAATACTGACTTTCCTTTAAATTTGGCCCCAGTTGCTCTGGAGTAGTGCCTGCGAACTCTGAAGAGCTAGTTACCATCTCCGCGATCTCGATAAGCCCGGTGTACATTTTTTAGTAGGATATGTATCGTTTCGTAATTTCATTATTTTTAGGCTGTAAGATTATGAACAATGGATAATCCTCTTTTGTGGGATAACTTCAACTATGAAATTATATTTTAAATCTACAAGAATGGAACGGAGTGTTTAAGAATAGGTGTTTGCATATATATATATATATATATATATATATATATATATATATATATATATATATATATATATTCACTTCCTTTCTACATTCTATAGCATACTTTTGGCTAAGGTGTCTCTTTATAATTAATATTTTTTCATATATTCAACATTTTTTTTATATTTTACATGACAATATTCCATGACACTGAATAGGACGAGGAGGTCTGATTGAGTTTCCCTTGCGATCTACTCCGCTGGACTTCTACTACGAGAAAGTCTTGTTCTAAACCGTAGAAAACCAACTGCACTGGCAGGACTTTCAGAATAAATTGAAAGGGTATGTGCTGCAATCGCTGAGGACACTTTCGCCAATGTTGCTCTAACAGTTCATCTAGGAATTCGACACCGAAAGAGGACATTTGGAACACTTGTTGTAAGGGTTGTTCCTGTAAAAGTCGAAGACGCTTAGTGGTAATCGTTTTCTGTTTGTGTGAATTTAGCTTTGTTATGTTAAGACTGATATTTTTATTTGCTTGAAGTATGTAATCTTTTTTGGTCCCCTCCGTATAATCCCAGAAGCGGAGGGAAATTCCATCAACTCCTCCTCCCTTATTTTCACTATGTCACACTTGGGAGACAAACTTTGTACTTTGATAGCATGAAAAAAGTTTTAAAAAATGGGTCAGGTCTCATTTTCGGGGCAATCCCTGAATTTTCAAAAATTTTAAAAGCTTACAATTTTCCGGTATCTCCCTATCACTAGAATATCGAAAATGGGGATTTTTTCATTAACGAAAACTGTTTTTCAAAGACATATCTCCAAATACGTTTATGTAGAATTGTTCCATCATGTGAGTAGTTTCAATGAAATTTCGCGTGAAATAAAGAAAATATTAAACATTGTTTTCTTCAAAACGATTTGAAATTTGATCTTTAGTTGTTTTTTGTTGGTGAACAGCAAATGACATTAAACAATTCATGCTCTTTTCATTTTCTTAACGTCTCTTTCTCCGAACTGTCGCGAAAAAGAATGCGAGAAACTTTGCGCAGAAGTAGCACCACCATTTAGATTGCGTTGCGGCAACAATGTGGACATCTGCGTTCTGGCGAAACTCGCTCGATTGAAATGGAAGTATTTCGCGGTGTTGGAGGCGGCGTACCACTCAGGGTACGTTTTTTATCGAAGTAGGGCGTGTTTTCCTTGCGTGAGCGAGTAAGGAATGGAATGCCGCCTAATGGAAGGCTGGAACTCGTCTTCTAGAGGGGGAAAGATGAGGGAGTGGGTATTTAGCTTTCGGGTGTGTCACCTACGACAATTAGTTCCGTGAATGTAGCGCATGTCGAGGCCCGGGATGAGGCGGTGTTCCTCCCGGACGGAACGTGAGATCGGTCGTCGACTTACACAACGGCTCGCGGAGTTGTTACTCCCCAAGGTATATCCTCTCCCAGAAAATCACCGCTTCCAGCCGGGGCTAGCTATAAATTCCAGGCTTATCTCCTGAAATTTGTGCCACAGGTGAGGAGGAGACAAGAATGAAGAAGGCAAATCACACGCGATCCAACACCCGTTTGGTTGGGCATTTTTCTGTTAATGATTGGAAAAATAACGAAAACTACCGATAAGAACAGCTCGCCGCTATAATTTTCATCCAGACACAAGCTGAATTCGACTACTAGTTTTAGTTGTCGCTTTAGTTTCGCAACTACTAGTTTTGAAAATTAGCCCCCGTGGGAATTGCAAACCTAGGACTTCCCGGTCAGAAACATTGCATCTGTAACGGATATTATTACACAGCTCGCTCAGACGGTTGAAGAAAGTTCTTAAACAGGAAAGTGCAATAGTGATGAGCCCCAAAATGTTATTGTTAGCGTATAGACTGCGTTTTGTACATTTTCCCAACATATTAGTTAAGAATAAATTTAAATTAATGTGATTGAAACGGCTCCTTACTTAGAGAACAAGGAGGATGACAAAGCGAGCCCTTGAACGAAATGGCATCTCAATAGGATTACCTTAGGTGCGAAGTCAAAAAAGATGAATACTGGCAGTGATAAAAACACATACTTTCTGGCATTATTTTAAACTTTTGAAATTTTAGAAAATTCAGAGTTTTTTGCAATAAGTATGCAATATAAATATGCAATATGCATTCAAGTGAAAACGCAAAAGCTACTCGTTTTTTTAAAAAAATGTTCTAGACCTTTTTTAAATAAATGCGTTTTTCAGGAACAAAATTAAGCCAAAAATCACTATCTTAAATTTTGTAGTTTTGAAATCTTGACATTTTACAATTTTCGAAAATACAGAGTTTCCTGAAAATGAGACTAGCACTACATCTGTTACGCGTTGTGTCTGCGTTTTTACGCCATTTGCTGTAAAATATAATAAAAAAAACTTCGTTCCATTTCTGAAAACATTTGGAAAATTTTGTTGAGGGTTAATGTAATGTACCCTCAAAAAATAAACGTCCATTTCAATCACAGAGGGCTCTAATTTATTTTAGATCGATCGAGGAATATCAATTTTGAAGAAGCTCTGAATCGTCTGAATGGTTTAGACGCTAGGGTTGACCACAGACTGTCAATCATAATTTTTTGCTGTCAATCGATTTTTGGATATCAAGGCGCCACAAAACACGGATGCTGATTATACGAAGTATACAAATTGTTCTCGCACATCTCAGACCGTTTCAACTCGTAATAGTGAACCATCAAAGGCTTTAAGTTTGTGTTCACAGTGAATAGTGAACTGTTCCAAACAAGCAGCTGTGCTATTGATTTTTCAATATTAATAGCAGTTTTCTTTCACACTCGAATCTTGGTTCAGAGCATCGAGGGAGCCGTGACGATCCTCTACAGCTCAGCAGAAATGGAAGTCGCCTACAACATCGACCAACAAGGGAATCAACACATCCTCGAAGAATCAACTGGCAGCTTCATCGTTCACAATGGACCCAGCCAGAACCTGCTGGCAACAAACATGGAAACGCAACGCTAGTCGGCAAACCAACAGGACAAGGCAACAGTCAGGTCAGTCACGTCGACGCGGCCAGCGACCAGCAGCACAGCCAAGCAAGCTTTGATCCCGCCAATATCAGAAGATTGAGAAGACCAATAATAGTGTAAAACAGTCACAGTGACAGTAGTCCCCTGGCAATCCATAAATGAGAACTCTTTCATGTTAATCCTCACTCTTTTCCTATCCATTTACCTATCCTTTTCATTAAGAAAGAAAATTGTTAATGAAACCTGTTTATTTGTTAAAATATGTATAAATGTAACTGCTTACTTATAGCATACCAAAAAATAGAAACAATGCAATTGATGTTGGAAACAAATTTTCAATAAATGTTTATTCAGTATTATAGAGATATATTCTTCGAACAATTCACACTTCAGGAACCGGCAAGTACAACAAGCCCTACTCTTTTGAATATTATTTAATTTTCCTGGATTTGTTATTAGGAATAGAGGGGGTTTTGCAGAGGCAAGGCGACAGCTTGCTGGGGTGCAAAAATTGAAAAAATATTCGTATACTAAAGAATATTAGATTATTTTCTGCGTTTATATGTATTACTTCAAGGAAAGTAATTCTGAGCCGAATAATAATAAAAATAATATTTTCATCTCTCAGTAATAAATACCACTTGTTACCATTAGAAGCAATTTAGTAGGCTTAGACTTCACTTTGGTACATGGGAATGTTGCTCAAACGTCGTTTACGTATTGAATATTTTGGCGAAACGACACCTTAAGTTTAATATCAAACGATGTATTATTTACAATATGAGTTAACAGCTGGGCATTGATGCACAGACTTCCAGATACCGCCAACGCTTAAATTGTGAGTCTGAATTGTAATAGTTGGCAGTTGTCGAGTGACTTGCGCTATTCTTTCTATAATTTTAAATGTGGTTGTTTTTTTAAATGCATTCACATAGTATTGTCTGCTAGTACGTATTGATTTTTGTTGTTCATTTCTTTCAAGCTATTTTACTTTAGTTAATTTAAAAAGTTTGTTCTTTGAGTTGTGCCATAGCACAACTTTTCCCCTACTACATTCGCGTACCCTTGCGAGACCTCTTGCATGTTAAACCCCACACTCTTCCTTTTTCTTTTATTTTCATTATGAGAGGGAATGTTACTAACAAAAAGTATTTATTTGTTTAAAAATGTGTATAAGGTAACTTGCATTGTACTATCACAATATCAAATAAAAATAAAAAGCAATTCAATTGATGTGAAAAAGAAATTTTCACAAAAATGTATTCACTATTGTCGAGAGATTTCTTGGAACAATTCACAACACTCCCTTAAAAATATTTGAAGTAATTATTCAATTTTCTTTGATAGCTTTTCGCTTTCCTTGATAGTCACAAAAATATTAAAAAAGCATTTTACTCTTGAGAAAGATACGTGACTGCCTTGAAAGTTTCACCGAATCATTGCTGATAACGATAACATTGGTACTGGTAAAACACAAACCAAACCTAGCAGGACA